TATATATATAGACATAGATGTAGTAGAGAATCTTTGCCTCGACCAAAGGTCGTGTATAGATGTAGTAGAGAATATTTGCCTCGACCAAAGATCGTGTCGATGTAGTAGAGAATCTTTGCCTCCACTAAACTGATAATGAGAGAGATAAGTGCGTCCTGTCTATCGGTGTAGCGTACAGCTGGCCTCAAGGGGGTTATACAGTAAGCCTGTCCTACATTGGCGCGGGGAATAAACAGCTAAATTTAGCCTCTACTAAACAGCCGGGTCAAAGTTCACAGTTAGCACACGGCAAAGAGTACACAGTCAGGTGAAGGAAGCGGTCAGTGTGCGGCGACATCCCTCCGCCAACCGTCAACACCCCCACAGTAGACAGTACCGGCAGAGACTAGGTAGATCTAGACCTATGTACGGCGTGTGAGGTCACCCGTGTCACCGTCTGTTGAGCTACACCAGAGAGTCTGTATACTAGCGTAGTTCTAAGCTCTCTAGTTACACCTACTTGGCTAACGTTCCACTTGTGGTTGTAGCTAGTAGCTGGACTGTGCCCTAGTCTAGTAGCTGAACTGTGGCCGAATCTTGTAGCTGAACTGTGGCCGAGTCTTGTAGCTGAACTGTGGCCGAGCCCAGGCCACCCACTCCCAACAACAGACAACAGGGAAATCTTTATTGTTGTACGCACCGGACACTTGTACCTCGACCTACAACTACAGGTTAGGTAGGCGAAACTTTGGAACTTTTCTAATTGTCAAAGATTGTGCTTATTAAATCTCGACTTTGGATCACGACACCTCTAGTTGATTACGATGGCTTTGGTGGGTGCGTTAGTGGAGTTGTTTACAACGTTGGTTGTCATTCTGTACAACTACATGGTGGCTGCATACTGTCTGTTTGTCCCCCCGGCCAGGAAGCCCATCCACGGAGAAATCGTGCTGATCACGGGGGCCGGCCACGGCATAGGGCGCGAGTTTGCGCTACAGCTCAGCCAACTAGGCGCTGTCACTGTACTGTGGGACATCAACAAGGTGAGTATATACGTCACTCTGTGGTGGTTGTTGTTGTTGTTGTTGTTGTTGTTGTTGTTGTTGTTGTGGTTGTTGTTGTTGTTGAGGTTGTTGTTGTTGTTGTTGTTGTTGTTGTTGTTGTGGGACATCAACAATGTGAGTATATATGTCACTCTGTGGTTGTTGTTGTTGTTGCTGCTGCTGTTGTTGTTGTTGTTGTTGTTGTTGTTGTTGTTCTTGTTGTTGTGGGACATCAACAAGGTGAGTATATACGTCACTCTGTGGCTGTTGTTGTTGTTGTTGTTGTTGTGGGACATCAACAAGGTGAGTATATACGTCACTCTGTGGCTGTTGTTGTTGTTGTTGTTGTTGTGGGACATCAACAAGGTGAGTATATACGTCACTCTGTGGTTGCTGTTGTTGTTGTTGATGTTGTTGTTGTTGTGGTTGTTGTGGTTGTTGTTGTTGTTGTTGTGGTTGTTGTGGTTGTTGTTGTTGT